AAACACTGTCGCAGAGCAGGACATGTAACTAGTGTCATTATGAAGACATTGAATGAAAGATGTAACTGACATTAGAAATGGCTATATATGATTATGTAATCTCATTATTGTGCATAAGAACATGGCTCATTATACATCTGAAAACCATATTTCGATAACCAAACCAGGTAAATACATGGTACCAACTTCATTTCGACCTCATGTTACTGATAATACAAGCTACCTGATTGTCTAACATGTGACCTCATTAATTATGAAACAGAATCTTGTCAGCTTGGGCCCCGGTGACGCCGCTTGCGGCTTTAATTATTTTTTGCAATTTGTGTTACTAATTTTAATTTCAGTTCGTAAGGTAGCGATAAATACAGGAGATAACAATTATGCAAATCGACTGCAAATTTAGCAGCAATTCTCTATATTCAATATAAATCTTACCCATCACTTGTGTCCATTTCATCCACGTTACTAAGCATGTCATCGGGTGTCCGAGGAAGACTATAGTTAGAACTCATCCCGAGGCCACTGTCTCCACTCTCATCACGGCTGTGGTACGTCCCGCCACTTAGAAAGGGATCCACACCGGTTGTTGACACCGACGTCATTTCCCTGTCTTGCGATTGTTGATTCGATTTACTGACTGGCTGACCGTCTTCACCGACAATTTCTTTTCGAATCAGCATTTCCTGGAATAAAATGGTTGATGAATGAATAAATAAATTTTGGTTTATGTGCACATCTATGAGAAATGTTCTTCTCAACAGAACAAACACAGTACGTCTATTAGTTTCCTAATTAGCATGCTTGCAGATTCAGATTTTGAAGAACAAGTCATAAAAAATAAATTAACCTCGGCAAATAAGTGATGTTACTGTACAAGTACAAGTGAAAATAAAATAACCAAATTCAGCTTTTTGTTCAGCTATACACTACATGATTTAACAGTAGTCATGCTCGATGTGGGTCCCATACAACATATACAACGCTTGTAAAATACATTGCTTACATGAAATTCAAACACTGGTTTATGTGTGAAGACGTACAACATACTTTTTATAATTCAAGAGAAAAGAATTGCAGAGAATTTTATAACTTTGATATTAAGATACTGCTTTTCCAGTTAACCGGTATGGAGTTTCATAACAAACGAAATAGATATGCTTCAGAGCGATTTTAGAGCACAGGTGTCCTATTGGACTATTTTAGAACAACTGCACTGATCAAATTTGTCCATTTTCTATAAAAATAGGATGTACGAGTTAAATATGGAAAGAGCTTTTCATACACTGGCCGAATTCATCTATATTTTTTTTTTTAAAAAACAACAACCAGTCACTATAGGTCCTGTGAAATGCTAGTTTCGGAACATGAATCCAAAGGATGGGTAAAGAACAAATCCACGTCTATCCAGTCTGGCACAGATAAATACACACAGTGTACAGTTACAGTATAACTGACTAAACACATGCCTGTGTCCTATCCTTCAATGCTTGACAGATGTATACAGTACAAGGCAAACACAAACTATACATGCACACAGTGACAGAAAAAATCTAAAATTGCAAGGTCATTGAACGGTATATAGATTGGAACCCATATTGAACAAGACTTGGTGCAATGACTAAAATGCAGTTATTTAAATGCAAAAAATTATTAAAAACCCCCAAATTATTAACCCATCTTCAATATACTAACGATAATTCCTCCTTTTTATGTGGTTTTCTTTGAACAAGTAGAAACGAACATTTTTAATTGCAAGTCAGAGACTTATTATTTTTACATAACTCAATTTCAGGGGTGACTAGGGGTTAGTTGTATATACAAGTATAGCTCGGCCAGTAGAAGTGAAACTTTAGAATGTCAGTCAAAGTCCATATATATTTATATACTTCGGCCCACATTACGCTTCATATCAGGGGTTTAAGTATTATATATATACAAGTAAATCTAGGCCCCTCTAAGTAACCTATATTTTGACAACTGCAGCAACGGAAGCTTGCTTGCGGAAACCATCAAACGAGAAATACATTTAGAATGGCTCTACCATCTGTTGTATCAACTAATTTTCTTTTTTATGAACCACCCATCGTCAAAATGACCTTATATAACAATGATAATGATAACTAGCTCCTATTAGTCGGTAACTTTGTGACTTATTTAAACGTTAATTTCACTTTGATCAAGGTCTGCACCACCCTCTTCATCCTGATGATTAAAAATTAATTTTCCCGTAAGGACACTATGACCTAAAGTCTGTAGGCAGTCTCTTATGAATAATGTTAGTAACACAAGTAGAAGGACGAAATGACATTAGCAGAGTCTGGGTGGTAATAGATCATTGATTGCCCTAGACAAGGGTCAATGACAAGACTTCCTGGCAAGATAATCCAGCAAGGTCCAGTGAATAATACAAAATGAAGCTGAACCCGATACTACTGGATATTTTTACAAGGCTATCAGTTGTCTGAGTGGTAAGATGGA